ATATATACATATTATATAATGATGGCAGCTGGTGTGCTTCTCGGGTGGGTAGGAAGATGGGAGTTTCGGTGGGGAGCTGTGGAGGAGCGAGGTGAGGGAGTGCTGGTTAGGAAGGAAATAGTGATGTAGAGGTGTGGGCTTGTTAGATAGGGTTTAGGAAGGATTTTTTTTTTTAATTGATTTGATTGATTTAAATTTTTAGCTGGGAAATCTTAATGAATTTCAACTTTGAGACCTTTGATAATTTGGAATTTTGACTTTGGTTTAAGTTTATGATTAATTTAATTTTTTTTTGGTTTTGTTATTCAATTTTATGTTTTAATTTTAAGTATATAGTTTTGTGGATCTTGAATTTAAGATTTTCATTATGTGATTTTGGTTTTAATTAATTTTTATTTAAATTTATAATTCTCATTTTATCGTTAAAAGATAAACCCCATCCTGGCCCAAGTTGAGTTGCACATCCAATGTGCTCTTTTAAGAAAGAGTTATCTAAGGCATAGTGAAGGAGAATTGCAAAGTGTCCAAAAAGAAGACCTAAGTCTCTAGGGTTAAAAGGGTTGCTTAAGTCTCAAGTAACTTGATTCTAACCAGCTCAACCAAATGCTAAGGGTTCGAAGTCAGGCACATGGAACCATAAAGGGTGAAGATATGTTTGAAGTTATATTTTTGCATTGGTTCCTCTAGTAGTCCTCTAAGAGAGACGCTAGGAAATTCTTAAGGCTATATCCTAAGATGATCTAGAGAGAGAGGGGGGTGGAAAAATAAGACAGACAACATACAAAAATGAATTCCATAAGGCTGAACAAAGAAATTGATTTTAGTTGGTTGGTTTAAATTGAGTCTAAATATACTCAAACCACATGGTGTTCACTTAAAGATGGAATCACACTAATGTCAAGAGGACAAATGCCTCCCTCAAATACTTTTTCTCAAGGGATCGTAACTTTTTAAGATTTGTCCATCCTTTAATTTGTAGCTTTAATCAATCCTCAATTAAAAGACTAATTGAACCGCTTACTCAAAAATGGATTAGTTAACTAATTAAGTTAAAAGCTCATAATTTTTATATTATTGTCAGCTTATATTTTTTTTTTATAAATTTGGTGGTTTCATCTTATTTGATTTTGGTGTATTTCTCTAGAAACACCAATTTTATGTATTTTTAATCATTTAAATATTATATTATATTAATGATTTAAAATTATTCCCAACATGATAGTCATAATTACCTCTTCGGTTATGATTGATCGGCAATAAGGAGTTCATTCAGTATAAAAGTAATAAGAAAAAATAATATTTAGGGTACTTTACATGAATGTCAAGACAAAAGTAATAAGAATAATAACAACATAGAAGATTAAAAATTGTTTAATTCTATTGATGTGCTTTGCTTGAATAAGAGGTGAGTAATGATAATATTTACTATCTTAGAACAGTAATGCATAGATAATATCCTTGTTGTGAAGTCAAAAGGGGCGATATTGTTTACAATCAATGTATAATACAATATCGGAGTTTAGCCAATTTCGGATGGTCACATTTGGTGAGTTAATACCCAATAAATCATTAGTTATTACTGTTATGATGGGTTACCGATTATTTATAGGTCGAAGAAAAAATGTTTGATTGTAAATTGAAAATTGAAAATTGGCAATCATTCCGACGATTTCTATTTGTGGATGATTTTTCAAAAAAACATGATTATCGATTTTGGATAAATAAGTAAGTACGTGCTAGTCTTCGACTATTGTCGGCTTTTGATTATCGACAAACAAACCATTAGTGATAACTGATAGGTGAGCTGTCAGTAGTTATAGCATGTGTCATTCTTATGACACAATAAGATTCAACAGTTATACATCGGAATGAGTCGAATCAGAACCCATAAGGTAACCATCGATACTCTGGACTATCTATCGATTTATATCGAAGTTGAACCCATCGTCGGTTAGGTGATTGTAATATAACATACCGCATAAGCCGTCATTTTTCACTATAATTGCTCGATAAATCATCGGAAGACCAATGGAAAGTTGTCGAAAAACCTATTGCAACATAAAAATAAATCTTCTCATTCATAGTTATGATTTTCACACCGCAGTCGACACACATAAAAATACAATTACTACAACAGCCCCTGAACATCTCCAAATATTTGACAAACTAAAGTTGTAACTGTAAAATTTTCAAGCTTACACTAATTAAACCAAATACATTTAGGTAAACGTATATAAATAACTATTCGATAAAAGAATATTTGCTCAAATATTTTAGAAAATCACATACAAATGAAAAAAAGTCCCCCACTGATCATCATCCACCTCCTCATCATTATCTTTCGCATCCAATGGTTGATTATTGCTAATTCGCCCGACGTCTGAACACATCTATCTCTGCCTTCAACTTGACTTCCATATTAGCCTCCAGCCCCGACCTCATCTGCATGAAGTGGGCCTCCATTGATTGATGAAATATGTGAATACCATTATATAAGGGTGGCTAGCTCCATGAATATCAAACAATTCCTCTACCTCAAATGCTAGCTAAAATTAAGCCATTGTCAAAGATGCTTTATAATTGATGAAATACAAACTTTGATTGATGCTACACATATTCTCATATAATTCAATAGCCTCAAAACAATTTTTACTATGATTATTTTCCTATTTTGATGTATTTTTCTTTAAATATTAATTGCAAATATTTCTCTTCTCAGTTTGAGAATATTGTTTAAAGATAGTTAAAGCACTATAGAATATAAATATCAAATAATCTTTAAGAGAATAAGTAAAAAAAGCATCAGCAGCTTTGAAAGCATGGCATTGGGTACATCTCATTAAACCTAATAAGATAAGTAGCTCAACAATTATTACTCATTATTTTTAGTCTAAAATCAACAACTTGAAAAAAGCAACATAATGTTTAAAATGGAAATTTACATACATATCACACAACTATCATGTATTTACATAGCTAATAACTTAATTTTAATATTTACATCTATAACACTTTGATGTCATAAATCTATACATGAAAATGTATATTCCACGATTTAGAAGTCTGTGATATTGAAATTTTTCTATGATATTAAATATTTTAGAGTTATGCACATAAATGTAAAAGTTCATGCGCTAAATATTTAAATGTATAAGAATTGTGTGGCATATATGTAAATGCCCCTCGATATTATGGTAGATGTAAGAACATTATATTTGTTGTGTGTTAGAAAGTTTACACTAGTAACGCCTAAATTTACATGGATCAATTTGCATGAGGCTCTTATGCACACTTAAGTGTGTGTGTGAAACAGATAGAGAGACAGAAAGAGAGATAATGTGTAAGATTTGCATACATAAAGAGCAATATATATATATATACATATACATACATAACATATATATATATATATATATATATATATACATACATACATATGAAAACAATGAAAGGGGAAAAGCCTAGTGCCTAGCTTAGTTGAAATAGATCCATTATTCTAAGTTTGAATTGATAAAAGTCCATTGTTCACTAAATGAGAGAAGAATGCATCATACAATTTAAGAAATTTAGAGACGTTGGTTTAAGAAATTTAGAGACGTTGGTTGTTAAAGTAAATGAAAGTCAAAGACGAGCATCAAATGTTAGATTTTTTGTTGATGTCGATCAATTACATAACATGTGTTGGGCTAGCGGTGTCAATGAAAAAATAACTTGCTAAAAAATTGATGTTGGAGAACAATGACAACAAGAATTAAGACTTTCACATTAGTGGATATCAATCAATGGTATATTATAAGGTGGTTAGAATGATTGTTCTTCCTTTCATAAAACATGATTAATAAACCTAGCAAGTAAGCATGGAACAACAAAAGTCAAAGGCAACATACAAAAGTTACAAATGGGCATCAAACTGTTATATTTTTCTTTATGGCTCACATTTATTTTAATAACTTATGAGATTTATTTTGATAACTTAAGTTATTTATTTTCTTAACTCATAACTTATGTCATAACTTATGATATTTATTTTTGTAACTCATGATAACTTAAGTTATTAATTATCTTAACTCATAACTTATGATATTAATTTTATAATTCATGTAATCCCTAAAATAAAATGAATAAGCCTAAAATGAATAAGAGTTACTAACTTATGTCATTTATTTTAATAATTAAAAATCAATTAATTTATTAAATTATCATAAATCCTATTGGTTTGTAATCCCCTTGATGGATGGTTGTTAAATATAGCATGATTTAGAGAATACGTTCTCTCTCTTCCTAACACACCCTGTACATTTTCCTCCATCAGAAGGTGCAGAATGTTTCAAGGGATTAAAGAGAGAAACTCCATCTCTTCAAGATCAAATTTTATTATCATGAATGCATGTATGTGTTACATTATTATAGATATGTAAACATCATGAATTTAAAAGATTTTGGCAATTATGTATTTTTTAGAATTTGTGTCATAAATGTTAAACATGAATTTCTAACACAAACTTCATTTTTCAAGAGGCAAATGATCCTTATTGTTCTTATTGTAAGTAAGGTGAGGGACATAGCTTGGAGATGAAGAAGAAATCTATATAAGCATGAAACTAACAATGACCAATTAGAGATTTTGAATGATGATTTGAGCTTCTAAATTCATTGGTAATCATAGTTGCCTTTGAGTTTGGAATATGAAAAATGAGAACTTTGTTATTTATTTACTTGAGGGAGTAATGCAATAATTATATAGAATTATTTAGAAATATTTTTCATTGTTATTAACAATGCATGCATCATGATGTCCTTGCATGGCCTTAGGCTAAAATTATGGATGTGTCAGATGGCTAGCAGACGATCAACAATGATGTCCTAAAGAT